TACATATTTACTATGTGTATAAATTTTTGCGATAATTTTTCTAGCTTTTTCACTTTTTTGTTTTAAATAAAACTGTATTAAAATATTTTATGTCTTTTTATTCTAAAAATAATATTGTAGGTTCGGATTCGATGCTTTAGAAATGTCCCGATTTTTGGCCACAGAAATCTGGTCACCATACCCATGCTATATATGCATGTATGTAAATGTGTGTAGGTGTGTACCCAGCACATTTCATGTTTTCCCTTTTTTATCCTCCTTGTTTATGTTTTAATTTTATCTCAGCGTGCTGTGCGCGAAACGTTTTCATTACACCATTATATTCATTCTTCCTGTTTTCCATCTGCCACCGACCCTCCGTCGTTTGCTTTAGCCTTTGAGCTTTTCAGGCGCCAATTCACCCACAAACGTAATATACTTATGTAAAAGTATACACAAGCAAGCGCAAACACACACACACCTACCATTTACATTTAATTAAAAGTACTTAAGCACAGTTTTTATCTTTCTCGCCAACTGTTGTTTCGTATATCCTTTCAGTCAACACGAAATTGCATAATATTTCATACAAGCCACACACACACACATACACACACCCACTCACTGCATGCATTCATTTATCATCTTACGTTGTAACTACGAAAATGTCATTTTGCCTACATACCAAGGCACATTGAACAGGTAGTACCAGTAGAGCAGCTGATTTGATTTTTATTTTTTTCAAATTATTTGGTCTCGAAAATGTCAAATATTTTTAATTTCTTCTCACAAAAGTTCAAAATTGTTAAAATCTGTTTGCATGCGATACCTTTTTCCATACAAAATAGGCAGCTTTTGGAACGTTCGCCCAACTCAGCAGCACAACCGCTGGTTATTGGGCCTTGCAAAGGATGGACCGACCAATGCTTCGAGAAGCAAAGAATTTTACAAAGAAAGAAAGTTGTAACAATTTTTATTTTTTCCAATTTAAATTTTTAAATTTTTATTTGTTTTTGTAATTCAAATTTAGAAGAAAAAAATCAGAACAGTTTTTGACACTTTCGAAGCAGCCAGAAGCAGCCACAAAATACCCGCAAATGTTGTTTTTGCTCTAATGCTACTACCTGTTTGATATGCCTTGCTACATACAAATATGTACTCCCTTTAAATGGCAATATTATTTTTATGTCTACATACATACATACATGGTGTGTATGTACATAATTGTATGAGTTTTAACGAATTTTTCCTTCTCTGCTTTTGCTTACAGAAATGATGGAAAATATTACCGAAAGTTGGACCTATTACGTGTACGTGCTGCTGACACTGGTTCCAGTATATTTGGCATTTCAATTAATTAAGTTTTTCGGCTGGGAATTGTTTGTCAACAACTGACACAACTTACCAAATGAAAATAATAACAAGAAGCGCATACGTGGCAAAGGCGTTTTTAACCAGCTGCGTTGAAGCTAAAGCTGATAAAATATTTATACAAAAAAATGTAAGTGGAAAACTAAAAAGCTGCTTATCTATTCGAATTTGGTTTATGTTGTTGACTTCACAACCTACCTGTCTTACACATCAATTTTATTTGCATAGTAGTAGGTTATTGTTCTTTGGTTTGAGGTTTTTTTAGGGTTCAGCATTTTCTGCTAAATAAAATTAAATTTTATACAGCTAGTAAATGAAAGATCAGCTACCGAAGTATGTATTTAATTAAAAAAATATACAATTTTTGAAGTTTGCCAGCTAAACCTTGGTCAAACTGAATTACGTAAAATTTCTACTACATACATAAAAAATGGGGTATCAAATTTAAGCTCTTGGCCTGTAGATGTACAAACTGGTTTTATTTTTTCGAACAGAGTTGCCGTCTGTAGAACAATTGAATTAAAATTATTTAATAAGCAATGCCATCATAACCGCAGCGTTTGTTCGATTTTCCAAAATAAGGTGTCAAATTAAAAGGGCTTGGACTACAGATATGCAATAGGGTTTTACCTTTTTGAAAAGAGTTGCCACCTTTAAAAAAAATTATATTCAAATTATATAAAATTCAATTGTTACAAAATGGGTACCAATGTAAATGATTTTGAGAATTTTTTTTTCTTAGCTTAACTTTAGGAGGGTTGCCACCTGTTTAAATTTAAACAAATCAAATTCAATTTGAATAAAGGAAATCAGTTAGGAGAAGTATGTTTCAAGATATGGGTGCCAAACGAAAATGGGTTCAGAAGGTAGCAGTTTGAATATATTTTGAAGAGGGTTGCCACCTGCTTAAAATGTCGAGTTTTGTTCACTTATCCACAAGTTATATGAAATGTAAAATAATGATGTCAAACGAAAGAGTGTTAAGAAGACTTTAGTTTGAACACAAAGAATATTTTTGAGGTGTTGGAAGGTGTTTAAAATTTAAATTCAGATTATTAAATAAGTTAAATTAATTATCAAAATATGGGTGTCAATCGAATGGGGTTTGAAAAATTTTTATTTCCGAACTATATTTAGCGGAGTTGCAAGATGTTTAAAAAATAAAATTCAACTTAATTCATCAGTTGATTTAAATATGGATTGCAATGTTAGACGAAGAATATTTCAGAATGTCTTAGCGTGTAACTTGAAGAGGGTTGCCACCCGTCATTTGAAACATGAAGCGAAAGGGTGTTAAGAAAACTTTAGTTTGAACATCTAGAATATTTGAAGAGGGTTGCCACGTGTTTATAAAGTGACATTCAAATTATTTAACAAGTTGGATGGATTATTAAAAGATGGGTATCATCGAAATGATTATTAAAAGGCTTTATTTCTGAACTATATTTAGGAGGGTTGCCATCTGTTAAAAAAATCCAACTCAACTTAAAGTAAGACAATTATGTATTTCAAATACACATGTATTAAAATTTGGGTGTATATATTGACGTCAAACGAAAGAGTGTTAACAAATCTTTAGTTTAAACACTAGAAATATTTTTTAGGTGCTTGAAGAGGGTTGCCACATGTTCAAAAATTCAAATTATTAAAAAGTCAAATGCATTATTAAAATATGGGTGTCAATCGTAATGAGGTTGAAAAGGCTTTACTTCTGAAATATATTTAGGAGGGTTGCCACGTATTTCATAGGCTGCTGTCAAATTATTTAATAAGTTAAATGAGTTTCTAAAGGATGGATATCAATCGAAACGGGTTTAAAAAGGCTTTCAGATAGGCTCCGCAATTCACTTCCGAGTGAATTTAAACCAACTTCGCTTCGAACTCAAATTAAGCTTTGTAGAAGTTTACTCGGAAATTGTATAACCTACCTGTTTATTTCTGAAATATGAGAGGTCAAAATAAAGACCTTGGCCTGTAGATGTGCGATAAATTTTTTTTTTTGAAATTAGACACTTTTTATCGGTACAGGGTGCTTTAAAATTTGATAATATTAAAAACCGACTATGCGAAACGGGCTGCACAGATTTAGAAGAAATATGACACTCGAATCTCTTATACCCTGACTAACATTTGTAATACTTTGTAGGTTTTTGAAATTCTATCTTTGGCGTTTTAACGCCGTGTGGGTTCACTAGTTATCTATTACACGATAAGTTGAAAGTACTTGATACATTACGATGCCTCAATAAATTTCGTTAACTCCATAAATAATGATAATAAAGCAATTATTGATAAATTCCATTAACTTTACAAATTTTAAAAATCCAATAAATTTGCATAACTCGATAACTATCGGTAAATTTCGACAGTTAAGATTCTGTGTCTAAAAATTTCGACAACTCAATAAACACTGATCCGATTTGAATAATTCGATACATTCCGATAACTCAGTAATCATGGTAAATTCCGATAACTATAAAATTCGTTGATTCGATAAATTTCGATAACTTGATAACTACAATTTTTGGGGACTGGATTTATTTCCAAAAAATTCTTTAATTCCTATGTAGTTCTCATTGCTTTCATTTTCGTCTTTATCTTCAATTTTGCCTTCACTTTTTTATCAATTATTTCTTCACATTTATCTTTATTACAAATAATAATTTCAAATACGAAGTAAAACAAAATGCGAAAACAACTCAAATTTAAGAGGTTACAACACCAACTATACACAACCAACCAAATTTTTAAACGAAAATTTCTGCCGTGATTTGCCTCATCTACAGAAAAATACCTTTCACTCAGAAAAAATCAACCAAAAATTGGTTAATATTACCGAATTCAAACTTGAAAAGGAATCAGTGTGATTTTTGGTTGATATTAACAATGTCATGGTTGATATTTTAACAATGATTTGTTAATATTAACCACACTTTTGTTTACATTAAACAAATTTTTGGTTGCCGATTTTTTCGTTTGAATACGCTTATGTTCTGAACTTCACAGCTGTTTTTTCATAATTCGGAGATACAAAATAAAATTTTTTATTATCATTTTAACACGTTCGCCTCTGCCGAGATTCGAACCCGCATCTTCTGAAAGCAAATAACAGCAAGCATCTCTGCACATTCAGCCACAGCCGTTCTGCAAATTTACCCTTGGTTCGGTAGAATCGCCGACCGAACGGCGGCAAAATTTATGATGGCGTTTTAATCAGTGTTGCCATTTTGGTGCTTTTGGAGCTAGATTTAGCTCTTTATTTCTCTATTTAGCTCCGAAAATCGGGTTTTAGCTCCTAGCTCTTTTTTTAGCTCTTTTTTTAGCTCTTTTCGAGATGCTGTGTATCCACCATAAACTCTTGGATCTAGGTTAAAGAATTCAAAAATTAATTAAAGGAAAATTCTTTTTCTGATAGCGCGGATTTTGTTTTACCTTACTAATTTTACCTTTAAGGAGAGCTGGAGGTAAAACTTTCCAGAAAAATTTGCGAAAAAATTATTCAATTCAAATATCTGAAATTACAGACTACAGACAGATAAGTGTCATAGCAAAGAATTCGAAATACATACATATATGCACCTTATTTTGGTTTTAAAAGATTTTTTCAGCACTTAAGCTTATAAAATTCGTTTTTGTTAAAATTGCCGAAAATGTAAAAACAAGCTTACGTCAATAAATGCTCAACCTTGACAAAAATATGTAGCTCTTTATTTTAGCTACTATTAGTATTATTTAGCTCTTTTTAGCTCTTTTTTTTAGACCGTTTTAGCTCCAAACGAAATTTTCTCTGGCAACACTGGTTTTAATATATAGACTTCCTTATTTTTTTCCACGTAATATCATGAAAGCTAACGCCAGTTTAGTGAGTGTACACAAAATTTAATCATTGTTTTGATGACGACATTTGCCTGAAATTTAAGTGACAAATTGTAAATAAAATTGGGGAAGTTCGTATTTGGTTAAGTCGTGAGCTCCAAATTAAAGTTTAATTGTGGAACTATTTTTAATACCTTCTTAATTTAAACCAAAAGTTGAAACCCTCATACAAATGTTTTGAACTACCAACAATTTTGCATGTTTAACCCAAACTTCGTAAAAAATATTCAAAAACTAATAAAAAAGTTCAAACAAATGAGTCATAAATGCAAACGACGAATTCGAAGTAGTAATACATAATTGCTTTATAATGACATTTCAACGCTTAATTAAAACTTTACAGCTGAATAGGTTTTGCGAAGAAGCAACGAGCAACTATTTTACATGTTTCGCCTATTTAACAGCTGCAAAGTAATTTTATGTACAAAATTTTGAGTGTTGAAATTTGGTCAAATGGCTTGCTTCGTTTGTGCATACTCGTAGATACTCGTACAAATCTTTAGAAATTTTCCACTTAAACTTGTACTTGTACTTATTCATAGTTACAATCAAAGTTTCCACAACTACCAAGCGCTTCTTTCTGCCTCCCTCCCACCAAAGTGGACTGATCGTAAATTTTGCCAGAATCTATTTAAGCCAACAAATGAAACAAAAGTACTAATTTGAGTGGAAGAAACTATGAATACATAGCTTCAAAGTTTTTCCCATTTTCTACTACTTCAGAAATTGCGGTCAAAGTTTAATTGCTTCCATACTTACTGCACACACACACACACTCACGTACAGCGGTGCGCTTGCAATTTGTTAAAAAAAAAAAAAACAACAACTTACTACCTTCATTTCGCTCTGCTGCCAGCTGTCTGCCATGCCAGTACTCCTGCACTGTGCAGCGTGTTGGAAAGTTGCGTAAAATGTTGGTGTGCTCCTCAACGACCATACAACTTCGGGCCGGTAGGTAGTTGACTGTTGGCCAACATATTTCCATATGCGTTTGCATTGGTTGATAAAAATGAAAGTGCAAAAAAAAAATATTATTATTACAAACACATTCGTTGAGTGAAAACTTTGCACACAAGTCTCTTTGCACGGCATCTATGTATGCACACTTGTATGTATAGTATTTGTGCGGTGTCCTCCTCTGTTGGACTCGTTGACTCTTTGCTATGCCTGCTAGTACCATTCAGTTCCTGCAACAACGTCACCACTACTTGGCTAAACGTAAAGCGTCGGAATTTCGTAATTAGAATAGTTAA